CCATGGAAACATAAAAAAATAAAAACTTATAATACTCATAAATAGCAAAAGGCACCAGTTCAGTATGTGCCTGGTAGACGTGCACAGTCTTGTACGAAAGTATTTATTGGTTTTTGAGTTACACCCGAAAACGAACACCACCCTTATAGAACCCACGAAAACGAACACCACCCTTATAGAACAAGTCCAACTTGTTACCATGGAAACATAAAAAAAGAAAATCTTATTATACTCCTAAATAGCAAAAGGCACCAGTTCAGTATGTGCCTGGTAGACATGCAAAGTTGTGTAAGAAAGTATTTAACGTTTTTTGAAACGAACACCACCCTTATCGAACCTAAGTCAAACTTGCTACCATGGAAACGTGAAAAATAAAAAATTCTGAAATTCCTAAATAGCAAAAGGCACAACTTGAGTATGTGACTGATAGACATGCCAAGTTTCGATCAAATACACTGAATTGTTTTCGAGTTCTGCCCCGGAAAGGGAAATGATTACGGACGGACAGACGGGCAGACAGACAAACTGGCTGATCACTTTATCCCCCCGCATTGTATGCCGGGGGGATAAAAACGTGACAACCCTCTCTGTACTCGTTCTTTTCAATTTCTGCGTCTTGACCTCTATCACAACTGGCTGTCACTAATAGACAAACAGCCTCAACGGATCGAATACACTTGCAATGAACAAGCCACACACTAGATCACTTTGTTATAGCCCATAGTTGAAAGTTAGTCAGGCTTAGAACATTTTTACCAAGCCTCATATCAACATTAAGCTTGCATATTATTGTATTGTTCACGGCAACTGACACAATTCCAGCAGACTGTGTTTGAATTAGTTCATAACCCTGAGTTTACATGAATTGACTATTTAGTATTCGGAAGGTAGCCGAAACATGCTTACATGAATCATTTCCTTAAACTAAACATATAAATAAAAAGGTTCAAAGGAGTATACCCACACGTTAAAAGCAATTCTAGGTTTCTCGTCATACTTACAACCTCTACACTATATTCCCTATATCCATTGATAAATTAAAACCGGGTAGCAATTCAATGTAGCACATCGATGAAGTAGGGGTAACAGCGTACACGGGAAACTTCAATGGTCTGTGGAATTTTAAAGTGGATCTCCTTGCCTTTGTTAATATCTGAGACCTGCATCACTTCGGGCTTTCCTCCCACATGGTCCAAACTCCTCCCACAAGCTGACACGTCGTGATATAACTGGGATACTGTTAAAAGCGGCGTTAAACCCAACTCACTCACTCACTCACTTTGTTACTCAATACCTCATTACGTCACCGATATGGTAGCTGTACATTAACGAATCAATGGTGGTAATATAACGCATTTATTTTATCGAACCATTGAAATAATTGCCATTTTTGCCACAATGGTAATCCATTTACCTCTGACCGAACATTAAAGAGCGTATGAACCATGGGATAAATGTCAACCTTGTCATAGACGATGTCATGGGTAATGGAATCTGCGACATCTTTAAGGTATATTTCACACAAAAACGATGACCATAATTACGCACCTGTCATAAATGTTCACAGTGACTTGAATGTTCTTTTATTTCATGATCTATTTATTGTGAATGTGGTCGCATGCCCGTGTATATATTTATGTCACTACTTACAAATCATAAGATATTGGTTAAAATTACAAAAATGCCAGTAAGTAGATTGCCAACAAAATGTTATAATATGATGCTATTGTATGAAAAGAATGGAGATCAAAATTGGGCATACAATGTTAAATTCTACTGTATAAATGTAGGTACATGTATGGTTACTTCTGGGACAACCAATGTTTCTTAGAGAATCACGCCATGTTCATATCGAAATTAAGGCAGACGCTTTTTGACATGTACTTTTAAACATGGAGATCTACTGTAGATGTTTCTAGCAAATGCGAATATTATAGATATTTTAAAATGCAAATATGCACAGAAAAATATTTAACTGACGTAAATATAAGAAAATGCAGAATATCATGAACACAATTTAGATGCAGCTCACACAGGTTAATGGTTGAAGTTGGCAGGCACACAAAAATACCCAAATGTTTAAGATTATATAAACAATATTATTTCAATGTTGTCGAAGATGAATTTCATTTTCTACTTGTATGTTGTAAATATGATAATTTAAGGAAAACTATATTGAACAAAAATACTATGTACGTCCAAATATATACAAGTTTATCGGTTTAATATCACATGTGAGCAAAACGGCTTTTCAAAATCTATCTATCTTTATATATTATGCCATGTTATTAAGAAATAATTAAATTTTCGTTGTGTTAACTGAAATTCCTGTATTCTGATCAGCTGAATTGGTCACGTGTTATTGCATTCATTTCCCAATGAATGTAAAAAATTAAGCCACGCCCACCGAGGCGCACTACTTTTATTACTTCGGAGTGTCGGGGAACCCACAGTCGAGCGAATTCCCTTTCTGCTCACACGACCGCCTCCGTGGTCTTGTGGTAGAGCGTCCGCCCGGAGAGCGGAAGGTCCAGGGTTCGATCCCGGGCCGCGTCATACAAAAAGACGTTAAAAGATTGTACTTGTTGTTACCCTGTCTGGCGCTCGGCATTAAGGGGCTAAAACAAGGACTGGTCGGCTCGGAGTCAGTATACTGTGTCTGAGTGGGGTATTCATGTTAAACTGCGGCATGGTATCTCAGTGAGCTAGCACTATAAATCGGCATCAGTCCGGACTAGTACAAGCAGCCACACACACAAAGTGCAATAATCTTGGACGCGACGTTGAACCCAATTTCACCTCACCTTTCTGCTCACACGTATCGTCATGCACAGGACATTTAGCGACTTTCATGCATATTCATTGTCCAAACAAACCTTTGAAACCGGAGGCCGAGAATGAATGAAACAGCAAACGTGCGCCTTTTTTTCTGCTCGCCTCGCTTCAACTTTCATGTCTTCGGATTTCATTTCTAACTCACATTTTTCCAACTGTGTTTTACCGTAATTAGGGTAGTAATGTCTGAATCTGGCGGTAACTGACCATATAATTTGAAACAGCCGCCTTCTCCCGGGCATATTTCTTCCGGTTCGTTACAGTCTGACTGTTGCAGTTCTTTTCGCCTCTTGTCTTAATTGACAGGTCCAATGAATGTTTTGACCCTGCTCTCCGCTGATTGGATACTGACTGTGCAGGCGTGTCAAGTTATGTGCATAAATTAAACGATCACCTGATCATGTCACGCCACAGTATGTATTCCTACACCTGGAATGTTAATCAATCTCGTCATTTTGTCTATTTTGATATATACAACTGTTTTTGGTTAAACTGTTGTAGATAAAACATGTTTTTTGTTGTCGAATTTAATTATAAGCATTGACTGTGTACTTTTTTCGCTTCATTGAGGTATGAATCGAAAAACCAATGTGCAAACTGTATGAATTGGTTTTTCGATTCATACCTCAATGAAGTCAAAAAATACACAGTCAATCCATAAATGAATCCTTGTAACATTTCTAACCACTTCCACATTGTCATGTATTCTGTACTATGGGCCTGTTGCCTTACAGTTATATATGAATAAACTGATTGATTGATACTCATTACGTCACCGATATGGAAGCAGTACATTAACGAATCAATGGTGGTAATATAACGCATTTATATTATCGAACCATTGAAATAATAACTATGTTTTGCCACTATGGTAATCAATTTACCTCCGACCGAACATTAAAGAGCGTATGAACCCTGGGATAAATCTGAACCTTGTCATACACGATGTCAAGGCGAATGGAATCTGTAACATCTTTCACGAATATTTCACACAAAAACGATGACCATAATCACGCACCTGTCATAAATGTTCATAGTTCTTTTATTTCATGATCTGCGTAGCAAATGTAAATCTGGCAGCAAAATGATACATACATTTCAAACGTTGGTCAAATTGGCCTCGCATCTCTTGTATGACTTGTTGTACATGATTTGGGTTGGTTGGTTGGTTTAGTTGTTTAACGCCGCACTCAGCAATATTCCAGCTATGTGACGGCGGTCTGTAAATAATCGAGTCTGGACCGGACAATCCAGTGATTGACTTCATGAGCATCGATCCACGCAATTGGGATCGATGACATGTATCAACCAAGTCAGTGAGCCTAACCACCCGATCCCGTTAGTCGCCTAGTCGCCTTTTACGGCAAGCATGGGTTGCGGAAGACCTATTCTACCCCGGAATCTTCACGGGTCACATGATTTGGGAACATTATCGAATCGACATACTACTAAAACAATTTTCGCATAGTTTCCTTTCCCTTCGTCAACGTAGTAAGAGTATCGATTTCAAACGGGATATCACGTACCAGTGGGACAGGATACGTTCATGTTTCGCGAACACCTGATATTCAAACTAAAAGAGAGGGTTTTATAAATACATGCTTGTGATAAAATGGGAATTGTACAATATTATTACTAAGGAACTAGGTTTTTTTACGTTTAACGCTGATTTCCTTTTTCTATTCACTCAGTGCTATAACTGACAATCTGAAAATTTAACAAACACACACTGGGTTAATAATCTCATCTGGGTTATTGATTCCTTACAGGAATGTTTGTTCTTGCCGTGATTTTTACGGCGTATCCCACGGTTGGGTAGAAATGAGCTTAAAGACGATCAAAAGGATCACAGCTCGATAACGATCCGCCGTCAGACTGTCACAACACCCATGGGGACATTACACCGACCTGAAAAAAAAAATTGGATATTGTTTTTACTTTTAGTTGTGTCGCGTCAAAAGACAGTGCTGCTAGTGTCTAATTTTCACATTCACTAGTTCTCCACTTAATAATCAATAGGGCTCTGGAACCTGAAACCTGTTATTCCACTTTAAGATTTGTGATCCTGTTCGATCAGTTGAACCAATCAGTGTGGCTCATCTCGGGGACTTTACGAGTCTGCACTATGTGCCACGTTTCATTAAAGATTTAAAGAGCATCGTCTTCCCGGCAATGTCTATTATAGTTGTCAACAGGGACTATTCCAATTGGTAAATGAAAACAACAGAAACTACAGTAAGAATTGTGGGTATGAATCTGTAGTACCAGCCATGTGAATCTAGACAGAAGAATGAAGGAGTTATTACTTGTCTCTATCTAGACAGAAGAATGAAGGTGTTATTACTTGTCTCCATCTAGACAGAAGAATGAAGGTGTTATTACTTGTCTCCATCTAGACAGAAGAATGAAGGTGTTATTACTTGTCTCTTTCTAGACAGAAGAATGAAGGTGTTATTACTATTCTCTATCTAGACAGAAGAATGAAGGTGTTATTACTTGTCTCTGTCTAGATAGAAGAATGAAGGTGTTATTACTTGTCTCTATCTAGACAGAAGAATGAAGGTGTTATTACTTGTCTCCATCTAGACAGAAGAATGAAGGTGTTATTACTTGTCTCCATCTAGACAGAAGAATGAAGGTGTTATTACTTGTCTCTTTCTAGACAGAAGAATGAAGGTGTTATTACTATTCTCTATCTAGACAGAAGAATGAAGGTGTTATTACTTGTCTCTGTCTAGATAGAAGAATGAAGGTGTTATTACTTGTCTCTATCTAGACAGAAGAATGAAGGTGTTATTACTTGTCTCCATCTAGACAGAAGAATGAAGGTGTTATTACTTGTCTCCATCTAGACAGAAGAATGAAGGTGTTATTACTTGTCTCTTTCTAGACAGAAGAATGAAGGTGTTATTACTATTCTCTATCTAGACAGAAGAATGAAGGTGTTATTACTTGTCTCTGTCTAGATAGAAGAATGAAGGTGTTATTACTTGTCTCTATCTAGACAGAAGAATGAAGGTGTTATTACTTGTCTCAATCTAGACAGAAGAATGAAGGTGTTATTACTTGTCTCTATCTAGACAGAAGAATGAAGGTGTTATTACTTGTCTCTATCTAGACAGAAGAATGAAGGTGTTATTACTTGTCTCTATCTAGACAGAAGAATGAAGGTGTTATTACTTGTCTCTAGCTAGACAGAAGAATGAAGGTGTTATTACTTGTCTCAATCTAGACAGAAGAATTAAGGTGTTATTACTTGTCTCTATCTAGACAGAAGAATGAAGGTGTTATTACTTGTCTCTATCTAGACAGAAGAATGAAGGTGTTATTACTTGTCTCTATCTAGACAGAAGAATGAAGGTGTTATTACTTGTCTCTGTCTTCATTTCAAGCGTGTTGGCAGGAAACTCTTACACCCAACATGACTTTGAAAGAGAGGCTACACTGGACGGTTTCCAGACAATAGAACCTCCATCAGACGTCAGACCAATTCAGTCTAGGTTGAAATGTTGTGTGCTTTGCTCACAGGACGAGCTGTGTTCTGCTGTGACTTTTCATGATGGCCAGTGCTTCAAGTACAGCTCCTTCGTATCAACACCTGGTTCCTTTCTCCCCGGAGCAACAACATTCCACAAGCAAGCAGGTCAGATGTTATATGCATTAGCTTTTCAACATACGATCCTATTCCTTGTATTTCTTTTCTTTCTTTCATATACATTTATATACCGCAGGTATCCCGGTACTATTATCTGCTCAGATGCGGTTTATAACTGTTCCCCGACCAGTGGACCCGTTTGCATTCCAGCTATCATTCTCAACTCCCTGGGGAGTATACAACCCAAGCTGCTCAGAGGGTACCCATTCCCTGCTGGGTGAACAGAGGCACATTTGAACTAAGTCACTTGCCCAGGGTGACACCACACGTGTTTCGGGTGTATGTACGTATTCGTGTTTCCACCATCTAGTCATCTACCATCGGAGGAGTTGGTTCTTTTGAGTGCACAGGGTGAATGTACTGTACACTAGGGGTAGTGACAACACTGTAGAGACCTGTAAACATTGTTGGTCTGTTTAACAACCCGGTCACTAGCGGGATATGATTTCAGCACCTGGCGCTTGCTAGCCTGGCGCTTTTGACCGCTTGCCCACTCCGTATTTGTGGTACGGCCGGGTAGTGTAGTTGTTTAAGAGTTCGCTCATTATGTACGAAACCCCCAAAGTGGACAATGTTCGAAGCGTGTTCTGGTGTTATGACACTATTTTGCAATACTGTCTTGTATTTTTACTACAGTCAGCAGTAGCTGAAGTGATGTCATGAATCAAAGGTGCTTGTGCAGGAAGTTCAGGTACTTTATGTCTTCAAAGAGGTGGCCTTGCTTTGGATGCTGTTATTTATATACTCCAATGGAAAGCAGTTTATCACAAATAACAAAGAGAATTGGTCAAAAACATTTACTGCCGTGGATTGAATTATATCACATCAAAAGAACAATTTGTGAAAGTATAGGTGGGAGGACACTACAGGGATTGCCTCTGACATGGCGGTCCTGTTGATTACATCGCCATAAGTGTCACATTTGGTGGTCCTGTGGACATTTAATTGGCAAGCGACTTCTGTCGTGAGAGGTTGTTTGTTTGGTTGTTTTGTTGTTTAATAACGCACTCAGCAATATTCCGGCTATATCACGGGCGGTCTGTAAAAAAATCGAGTCTAGACCAGACAATTCAGTGATTCATATCATGAGCATCGATCCACACAATTAGGATATGATCACATGCATCAACAAAGTCAGCGAGCCTGACCACCCGATCTCCTTAGTCGCCTTTTACGACAAGCTTTTACGACAAGCTTTTACGACAAGCTTAGTCACCTTTGACAGCAAGCCTTGGTTTATTTCCAACCAACCATCCTCTGAATGGGGGCGGTCGGGTAGCCTAGTGGTTAAAGCGTTCGCTCATCACGACGAATACCCGGGTTCGATTCCCGACATGGGTACAATGTGTGAAGCCCATTTCTGGTGTCCCCCGCCGTGATATTGCTGCAATATTGCTAAAAGCGGCGTAAAACCATACTCATTCACTCACTCACTCCTCTGAATGTGATCTTCTCACATTTTGAAAAGGCGACTAAGTTTGAAATGGCCTCAAATCAGGGGACAATGTTATTGCAAAGTGTGTTATGGAAAAGGTGAGAAAGGATTTTCTGCCTTACTTATTGATATGAGTTCTTATTATCAGCCTGTTCACAGGGATATAAATCAGGAAAGGATAGTTCATAACCCTCCTAGATCTAGTTCTAACGAATCTGGTTCTGAGTACGTTGACAGAAAGTCAAGGAAGTCAAGGTTGTCAAGGTTGTCAAGGTTCTACTCCATTTGCTTCTAAAATTTCCGTCCGAGCCAACTTGTAGATAATGCAGCAAGCCAGGGCATATCATGTCTGAGTGTAGAAAGCTCACTTTCAAGAACAGTCATTCCTCCCGAATACTTTTGTGATTGTCGGGTGACAGCCTTTTAGTGGTTCTGCTAATGGGGGAAGTAAGCTGTTGTAGAACAGTCATCAAAGTCCGTTGTTGTGAGATAGGAGTACTTAGCTTTTGTTAGTAAAGCTAAAAACAAAGCTAAAGGGGAGAAAGCTGTTGTAGTACAGTCATCAAAGTATGTTGTGGTGAGATTGGAGTACTTACCTTTTGTTAGTAAAGCTAAAAACAAAGCTAAAGGGGAGAGTTCCATCCTTAGGCCCATTACCGTTTTGAGGGATGCTGGTACTCTTCTAACTCTGACTGTGGATGGTATTTTGCCCCCTTCTGAGGAGTCATCGGCGAACTCTGGGGTTTTGTTGGAGGGATTGTGTGGTTTTACCAGTGCGCCTCTCCAATTTCTGAATTTGAAGACAGAATTTGTGTCAGGGTTGGTCAAGGTAGGGGTTGTAGACTTGTTCAAAGGGTACGATTTAGAAGGGGAAGATATTTGGCTGATCCTGTAGTTTGTCTTGAGCCTAGCACTTTGGAAAGTACTGAAAATCTTTAAAAGAAATTCGAGATATTTTTCCTTCTTGTGTTGTTACTCATGCTATGGCTAAGCAAAGTTGATCTGAGAATGATTCCAGTTATGATTTGGCTGGAACGTTTATGGATCATTCTCTTGATCTGTCTTAATTTTCGAGTCAGAGTACTCATCATTCTGACAGTTTAGCTGTTTAGGAGCAGATAACGAGTGGAAGGTTTTACGTCTAATTTTTATTCCAAATTTATATTGAAAGCATGTTTTGGGTTTGACACATGAATCTTCTTTGGCAGGTCATTTTGGTGTAAACAAATCGTATGGCACAATTCTGCCCCTTTGGGCCTAACTTGTGGCATGATGTGGCTGAATATTGCAAAAGAAATGTGATGTGTGTCAAATGGTTGGCAAACTAAATCAATAAATCCAAGCCGCACCTTTGAAACCCATTCCAGCTTTTGAAGAGAAGAACCTTTCAGCCGGGTCATCATTGATTGTGTTGGTCCTTTTCCTGAAACTAAGCCAAGAACTCAGTACATAGTAACTATCAAGTGTGCTTCTGTAAGGTTTCTAGAATTTTTCCTTTACGGAAATACCCGTGGAGATCCGGTTAGAATAGGTCTTCAGCAACCCATGCTTGCCCTAAAAGGCGACTATGCTTGTCGTAAAAGGCGACTAACGGGATCGGGGTGGTCAGGCTCGCTGACTTAGTTGATGCATGTCATGGATCCCAATTGCGTTGATCGATACTCATGATATTAATCACTGGATTGTCTGGTCGAGACTCTATTATTTACAGACCGCCGTCATATAGCTGGAATATTGCTGAGTACGGCGTTAAACAACAAACTAACCAACCAAACCTTTACGGAAAATTATAGCTCAGGTTAATATCAAGACTTTGGTAAAGTTCTTCACCATGGTTGATTTGCCTACGACTGTTCCGTCCGATCGGGGCTCTAATTGTATATCCGGTGTTTTCCAACAGGCTATGCAGAAGTTAGGCATAACTCTAGTCTAGTTGAGTGCATATCTTACTGAATGTCAAGAAGCTTTAGAGAGATTTCATAAGACTCTTAAGAATATGGTTAGGGCTTACTGTTTTGAGACTGAGAAGGATTGGGATGAAGGCATTAATTTGGTGTTGTATGCGGTGAGGGAATCTCTAGGTCTCAGTCCTTTTGACCTTGCCTTTGGCCGTACATTTCATACACATTAGAGCACTTGAAGGAGCATTGGCTTTGTGATAGGCCTGAATGGGGTTTGTTGGAGTTTGTCTCATAATTTCAGCCGAGGCTTTCGTTTGTGAAGTTTGAAAGTAACTTAGGACAAAAAGTTTCAAAAGAGAGAAATTTCAATTCTGGCTATAAAATTTTAGTGTTTTTGCCAATCCCTAGTCGACCATGACTTGTTAGTACCAGGGTCCGTATGTTATTGACAGACAGTGATATTGACTATGTTGTACGTACAATAGACCGTCGTAAAGAGACACAGCTTTGTCGTCTCAATATGATTAGAAAGTATCATGAAAGAGTGCGTGAGTTATATCAGGAAAGAAATTACAATGTACCTACTCAGTGTGTTGCCACTGTTTCTCTAATGGTTATCAGATTATGATACTGATAGGAATTATTGCATTGTTGATTATGCTAGCCCTAAGCAAAACCATTCTGAAGTTTTAGCTAACTTGGAAGCTCATGCCATAGGCCAAGATCAGATACAGCCCATACAAGCAATAGTGGAAGGTACTTCAAATTCCACAAAACAAAAAGGAACTTATGAGGTTTCTGGGTATGGCTGGTCACTACCGTACATTTTGTAAAACGTTCTCAAATGTGGTGGTAGCCCATCTCACTATTTTGCTGGTCAAAAGGTGAAATTTGTTTGGGACAGTAATTGTCAGGCTGCTCTAAAGAACATTAAAGTCATTCTTATGAATTCTACAGTTCTCCAAGTACAAAAACCTTGGAAAAAAGATTCATTGGTGCAGGAGCGGTCCTGTTGCAGGAAGATGCATCAGGTTTTGATCATCCTGTTTGACATTATTTACAAAAAGTTGACATTATTCCATCTTTATTTGAAAAAAAAAAGAAAAGTTCTTACTCTATTGTTAGCTTTGTGACAACCCAATGTACACTGATCACAATCCACTGACGTTTCTTCATTTCAAGAACAAAAACCAACGCCTAATGCGCTGGGGCCTGTCTTTGCAAAAGTTTGATTTAGACATCAAGCATGTCTGTGATTGAGTTTGGTCTTATGCCTCTTTTAGCAATATTATGCTGAGGACACCAGAAAAAAGCTTCACACATTGTACCCATGTTGCGAATCGACCTGGTCTTCAGCCTGATGAGAGAACGCTTTAACCACTAGGCTCGACAGCCCGTCAAGCATATCAAAGGAATAGACAACATTACTGCTGATGCATTGTCTCGAGTTGGTTGAATATGATTTGCATTTTTGTAAACATTTCTCATAATTATCGTTCACAATATTCACTCTTATTGACTGTTCTTAGTACTTTTTAATGTGTTCAAACATTCTTTCTCCGAAGGGGGAAGAGTGTTATATGGCAGTGTCATTTGCCGTTGAACAATTATTGTAACTGTATGACATTGTACTAGTTCGGAATAATGGATCT